AAAAAAAAAAAAAAAAAATAAAAAAAAATGAAAATACTTACAACTTTTACACTCAAAAAGGGTGTCGTTGTGTGTGTGTGTGTGTGTGTTTGTGTGCTTTTTTGCAAGTTTTATGACACATTTTTTAGTTAGGAAAATAGAGTACTGCTTATAGCTTATTTGATTAGCTTATAAGCTTCTTGTATTCAAATTGGTTTGGTAGGACGAGTGTTTTTAAAAAGTTCGAGCTTATCTCATAAGCTTCTTCCTTGAGTAGCTTTTCAGATAAGCCCATTGAAATTTTTATTTACTAGCTAATTTTACGGAATCACTTTTATCATATAAGCTAGTTTTTCAGCCATAAGTCATAAGCTATCAGCTATAACCTCGAAATTTACTTAAAAGCTACTATAAGTTAGCTTATCAGCTAGGTTTACCAAACCAAACATATATATAGCCTAAGTTGGAGTGATAGCATACTCATTTGCCGACTGATGGAGAAAGCTGTCGAGTTGCTGAAATGCAGTTCCTGCTATTACACTAACGAGGAAAACATTGACAAAGTTGAAGATGTAATATCGCAAGGCGGCCCTCCGCTCGAGGGACGATATCGACAAAAAGCCTTCGAATTTAGCCATCATCATAAGTATGGTTGGGAGCACAATGAGGAAAATCTTCAAAGCAATCCCCGGCAAGAAACCTTGGATCACCGACTTGATAAAAGGTCTACACATAGCGAAAAAGAATTGCTCGTCAAATGTGAAAATACAGTACAATTTTTTTTTTAAAAAAAAAATCATATATATAGTATATATACTACTCACATTTCAATAATAGGCTTCAAAAAAGGCGCCCTTTTCTCGATACCCTCGATATTCGCGAGAGATTGAACAATTGTAACCGGGATCATGAAGAAGAAAGTGAGGAAAAAAAAGGCAACCGAAACAACAAGCCTTCTAACCGAAAGCGAGACGTAAGGGATTGCCAAGTTGTCCCATAACACGTCACGTGGCTCGGAGGCCCACTCGGTTAGCCAGTTAGTCGGGTTTCTTGTTTGTTGTGTTTGGGCACAAACGGCTGCACCCCATCTTGTCTTGAACGAGACAAAAGCTGCCGGCATTATGCACTTCGGGTCGTTTTTCACTCTTTCCCTCTCCTCAGCTATCTGCAATTTTTCAGCAATTAAATCCATCAATAATGTAGTACTTATACTATACATGTTTTTTTTTTCTTTCTTTCTTTTCAGAAAACTTACTTCTTTTGATAACCTCTGGATTTCGGCTGACTGGTAATCGATAGCATCCACTTGTTCGCCCCAGAGGCCGAGAAAACCGGTCTGCAAGAAAAAAAAAATACTCGAATGTTTTATTACATTATTGACCAATAGTTGACTTTGGAGATGTTCGAAAGCCGCACACCTTTGTCATGGGCCTGCGCGATTGGTTTCGTGAATATTTTAACTGGTAATAGTCGAGCCAGTTTTGCTTGCTTTTCTTCTCCTGTATGAGATCCGCAAGTTTATTGGCATTGATTACAACCTGCAGAAAATGTTCCGAAAATCTCAACAAAAAAAGATGTATGATTCTCTTGTGATTCAAGAGTTTAAAAAAAAATAATAAAAAAAAAATTAGCTCAAAGAAAACAAAACCTGATGTGTAAGATAGTGATCCGGGTGATTGACCAAGAAAAAGTGCTCGACACATTCGCTCACGGTCTCATCCGGGTCAGGCGGCACATTTCTCACAAGAACCTATGCAGAATGGTAAAAAAATCACAACGAAACAGGTAAAAAAAGGAGTACGTGAAAAATATTCAATAAAATCAACAAAAATTCCATATGTTCATGGATCAAAAGCCCACATTCAAGAGAAAAAAAATGTATTTTCTTTTAGTGAAAATTTGTTAAGAAAGAAGTTGCGTATTTACCGTGAATTGGTCGGGACGCCGTTTTTCGGAAGCAAGAAAATGCAGGCGCATAGATGCTACATTTGCATACTCTTTTCTCAAAGTGAAGCAAGTCCAGAAAGTGAAGGCATAGGCCATTACAATATGAGTCCAAAACCTGTGAAAAAAAGAAAATGATTCTTAACTGCAAGGAGCTTATATAATTCTAAATTTCTTATCACACACAAAAAAAGAAGTATTAATTAATTAAAAAGGTGAAATATGTACGAACCGAACCTTAGTGATCCGAATGGTACGTTTGAGATTGATAGCTTGTCGATGTCACTATATTGTACTTTATCAGTTGCAAGGGATTTTGCTAAGGTATTGTTTGTCCAATTAACCGGCACGAGAATAGCCCAAGCAAGTAATGATATAGGAACAAAAATCTTAAGTCTGCAAATGCAATTAGCTAAAAATAAGCACCATTTTATATAAATGAACCTCAAAAAGACTAGTTATTTAGCCCAACAAGTAAAACTGGACATATAGAAATTTATCACAAAGTAAAATATTTAAAGCAGGTAAATTAGAATTACCCCAACAAGTAAATCCTCAAGTACACGGCTGAATCGAGCCCCGCGTGATCAATAAGCTCTGGCTCGGGCATTCTCAAAGCATCGGGCACCCAATTCAAGAACTTAACATACGATCTCCAATCCAAATTTACGAATTTGCCCACGAACGAGCCCGAACGAATTGGGCTGCTCCTCAAGCCCTTAAGGTACCATTTTGGGAAATATACTCTGTCGTTAATGGGCTGGAGCCGTAAAATAGCAAACGCAACTAAAAATGCCACTGCAAATAGGATGTTTATCCCTGCTGCTACCCCTATATCACTGAAAGTGGCCATTTTTTAACCGAACTTCCTGCAAGAAATTGGTAAATGAGTAATGGGCTAAAATGGATACGCAATTCTACAAAGCTGCTGAATTTTGCCTTCTGTTTTTTTTAAGGTACCATTTAGTCTATTAAATGACTAAATATCACATTCACAGCCATTGCAAAATGGATACAGAGTGAATTCAATTTCTGAAGAGAACATGAAAAAACTGAAAATTAGGAAAACAAAAAAGATAAAAGACACAATTTTTACCATGAACAATTTGTTATTTTGCCATTATGCAGAAATAAAGACACAATCTTTATCTCAACCTTTTCAAGACAGTGCAATAACAAACAAGGCCCACCATTTAGTCTATTAAAGGATGAAATATCACAGCCATTACAAAAATGGATACACAGTGAATTTCTGAAGAAAACATGAAAAAACTGAAAATTAGGGAAACAAAAAAGATAAAGACACGAATTTTGCCTTGAGCAATTTGTTATTTTGCAGTTATGCAGAAATAAAGACACAACCTTTATCAACCTTTTCAAGACAATGCAATAACAAACAAGGCCCAACTAGGAACAAGCAAAGACTGTGATATGTAAACAAGAAAAAAAAACAGTAAACTCATTACATACCTTCAACAAAATTGAAGTCTGATCAGTGTATGAAAGAAGACAGTCACCAGATTCAGACAACTCAAAACTGCACGAAGAAAAACATAAGACTGAAACAAATTAGAATTGCTCAGAACTAAATAACGATAAATTCATCAGATCAGAGAGTAAATAAAATAAAAAAACAGATGAGATGAAGAAAAAATATTTAGTTTCTTTTCACATGGGCAAAGAAACATACCATGAAAAACGAGATTTTCTTGAAGATTCTTGAAGAAAAAAATAGCAGCCCTTTATATATGCTCTTTAGATTAGAAATGCAATAAATTAATTATAAAATAAGCACTAATTTGCCTTTTATTGATCTGTCTCTTGATTCGTAGGTAACGTTTGTGCTTTTATAGGTATTTATTTATGATTTATGATAATTGATCCTTTTTTAATTGATACTATTAAGATTTATAAGAATCTTATATTACAAAGTGATCTGTCACTTAAATGTCGTAAGTGGGGGCCCCACGTGGCGTTCAATATTCTAACGGCTCTTTCATTTTCTCACTGAGGATGGACTTCACGCGCTGTCCTAGAGTGTGGGGTAACTTATTTCACCATTTTTCCTCTAGTCTAATAGTTAGTCAAATGGACTCATAACACCATTTGAAAAAAAAAAATTGAATATTTATATTATTAAATAGTATATTTTTATTCATATTATATTTTAATATTAGTTTTCTTATAAATACATACATATTTATTAAAAGAGTATGTTGTATAAATTTTATTTATTGTAGGGCACATGTCAATGCATTATTGGTGAATAAGTGTGGATGACTCCATAAGTCGAATCATCCGATGGCTCCATAGCAAGACTGTGTTTATACTAGCCTAAAAGAGGATTTATTGTTTATCCTCTCAAGTTATGGTATAATTTTGATTTTATTTCTTATTAAATCCCAAGCCATCAAGATTATATTTACAAGATATCACTATGTTTAAATAAATTGAGATTACAAATAAATGTATTAAGTAAGCAATTAATTCCGGATATATTTTCATTGAAACAAAATCAAATTTTATTTCAAGTAATTCAAAGCACGTACAAAAGTTTCCAATAGAGTTAGAACTATAAACCAATTGAGTTTTAATTTCTGTATAAAAAGATTGAATAGGATAATGCAACACCCAACAAGTATGCTTAAAAATGGAATAAGTTGGATACTTATTTAGTAAATGTTAAATATTCATATTTGGCACGTTTAAGTAATCATGTATAAATAAAAGGTAAGAACATGACAGTTTTGAGTTACTATATGATGATATGTGTAATGTTAGACAATGTTAACATTCCAAATATAATTTTATATGAAAGTGTTATAAATAAAAAATAAGATAAATAAAGTATAAAATTCACAATATGTATATTTAAAAAAAAGGGTTAATTGCTATTTAAACCTCAACCTTTTTCCATTTTGCATTTTTATCCCAACCTTTGGATAATTGCAAAATAATCTCGACCTAACTTTACTTATTGCAAGTCGAACCTTACACCGGTCGGACCTTCAAAATCCGCCAGCGTGTCCGGCAACTTAAATCTACGTGGATTTTTCTGCCACCTGCGTGGAAAAACAGTAAATACGTGGAAAAAAACGTGGAGCCTTAAATTCTTTCTATAAAATGGAATCCATAATTCCCAAATAGAAAACCTCAAAACCGAATCCCTAAATCGAATCCATAATTCCCAAATTTTCACTTCGAAAAAATCTCATTTCTTGCAGACTATTAATCTCGTGATTTGTTTGAAGATGTCGTCTTCATCTCGCGCAAGCCAGAGTTCCGGAAGAAGCTTTCCTGCGAAGAAGAACTGCTGCTATATCGAGGAAGCCGACATCTTAACCTCCACGACATTTGAGAATCCGTGTAGGCGGTTCTACAGGTGTCATAAAAGATTGGTGAGCTCGTGATTTAACTTTTCGATTTTACTTTCTTAGAACCCTAATTTCTTAAAAAAAACCTAATTTGTATAAACCCTAATTTGTGATGAGATAAAACCCAATTTATATAAACCCTAATTTTACTCTCTTATAAACCTAATTTTCTCAAAAGCCCCAAATTCTGTAGCCCTAATTTTTTGAATTTTAAATATTTAGGAAGGGGATGATTGCAAATTCTTTGAGTGGATTGATCCCGCACTTCCCGAGTTCCAGAAATCCTGTTTTTGGCAATTGAAATCTCAGAAGGAATCTTTGGAAGAGCAGCTGAGACGAAAGAGTAAGTTGGAGAAAATGTACAGTGAAAGGGCAATGGAAAAATATGAATTCTTTGACCAAGGCAGTGAGTTTGAACGCAAATTGAATGATCTTGTGGCCGAAGTTGAGAAAAATAAAGAAAGAGTGTTGGCCGAAGTTCAGAAAAATAAGGAAATATTGCTGTCCGAAGTTCAGAAAAATAAGGAAATATTGCTGTCCAAAGTTCAGAAAAATAAAGAAAGCGTGTTGGCCGAAGTTCAGAAAATAAAGAAAGCGTGCTGGTTCTGGCAAATACATTAGCCCTCATGCATAATAAACTAGAAAGGAAGTTGAATGTTGTTATGTTTTTCTTATTTGTGGTTGTACTGTTTTTTGTTCTTGGTTTGCTTGGAAAGCATGGTGAGGTCGAGGGGCCGAAAATGTTGATTTGAATAGTTTGTTATGTCATTGTTGAATTTGAATATTTTCCTATGTTATGGTTGATGTATTTAACCTATGAATTAATGGAATTTGTAGTTGTCTGAACTTGTGGTTGTAGTGTTGTTCTTGTTGTCCTTTTTTTTGTATATTTTGTCATTAATAAGAAGTCTAATATCATTTGGGTTAGCTTCAAACCTTTGTTCAGAACATAAATTGTTTTGTTCAGAACACAAAGCTTTGTTCAGAACACAAAAGACAAATTGGTCACCTCTGAACAATAACAAATACATCTTTCCAAATAGAAAAAATACAATGGCCTTTGTTCATAAGACACCAAAGATAACAACATTCCAATAACAATAACCTTTGTTCATGTGACACCAAAAGATACAAACCACTGTTTCTTCAAGTAATTCCAAAACACAAACCACTGTTCAGAACTTAACAAATACTTCAATAGCATTACAAACACAAGTTTATTCAATAGCATAATCACAAAACATTGAAAACCATCAGAAATGCATTACTGCCAATCACAATCATCTTTCAAAACATCACTACCAATCATTCTTTGTCAGCAACACTTTCCTGGGTTCCTAATCCATCCCCAGTACTCTTCCTAATCCTCTTGCCTTTAGAGTTGCTAGACATACCACCTCTCCCAGAAATGACATGAACCCTTCTTTCTGATGACAGCTGCATTTTTGACATGTCAAATAATATTTCAGAATTAAAAAAGGACTGATTTCAATATACATGATTTTAGACAAATGATAAATATAAAAATTTCAATTAGGGTAAGAAACATACCCTAATGTATGTATTACCAGACTCCTCAGACTGAAGGACACCAAACCCCTTTCTTGCCTAAAAACAAGTATAACACATTAGAAATTCAACATGATACACCATGAACATATCACTAAAACTTCATTCAAACAAAATTATATTACCAGAGCTCTTTCCCTTTGAGTCAAAGATGACTGTTGGCTTGACTGCATTCTTGTTCTTGACACTGATGCTGTCTTCTATATATGTATCTATATCAAAAGCATCCTCTGACATAGAAGCATTTTCTACACTTGCATTATTCTTTCCTTTCTGTGCTTCTCCTGCATTGTTCTTCTCTTTCTCTTTATGTGCCTCAACTCCTAACTCCTGTGCTTCTCCTGCATTGTTTTTCTCTTTCTCTTTATGTGCCTCAACTCCTAACTCATGTGCTTCTCCTGCATTGTTCTTATCTTTCTCTTTATGTGCCTCAACTCCTAACTCATGTGCTTCTCCTGCATTGTTCTTATCTTTCTCTTTATGTGCCTCAACTCCTAACTCCACACCATTCTCTGCCTCTCCTGCATTCTTTTTGGATGTTTGATTTTCCCCAACCACATAAACCTCTACTAATGATCTTTTCTGAGTACTGTCTCCAATCATCTCCATAACAACACTATCATCTACTACATCTTTAAAGATTTGTTTTCCAGTAACATCTGGAACTCTGTAGACAATTCTCTCAAACTTACCAACACCCAGCTTTTCAACTTCTTCTTTTAAGTCAAAAAAACCAAATCTATCCACATCTAAACCATGGACTCTCTTGAAACTGCCACCTAAGTAGTCAACCACATTTTCCAATTTGACGAAGTATCCTCCATAGTTGAAAAAAATTGAAAACTTGCCACTGCAAGGAAAAAAAATCCATAAAAGTCCATAAGAATTTGAAAATTTCTCACTGCAGAAGATATTATTCTTTGTAAATTCACATATTAATATCCCAGAAAAACCTCCTTTTTTAAAATAAACCTTAATTTTTCAAAAAATCTCTAATTTCCAGATAAAACCCTAATTTCACTCACAATTTTAAAATCCCAGATAAATACCCATACAACTGCATAAGATACAATGCTTAGAAAATTGAAAAACTAATTTCCCAGAAAATCGTCATTTTTGCAAAAACCCTAATTTTTCGAAAAATCCCTAATTTCTCAAAAGAACCGTATTTTACCTCAGGAATTCTAAATCCATGGAAGATTATCAATCCTAAACGAAGCCTATATAGATTTATTCTATAATTCACTCGTTTTATGAATAAAAATTCATTAAATCGGAAGTACCTGTCTTTCATTTCTCTGTCAATTGAAACTGTCGAACGCAGGAACTCAGACTCTCATGAAATTGAGACAACCACGCCGCGGAATCCTTGTGCACAAATAAGATTTCATACGTTTTCGTAGGTTCAATTTGTTTTTTTGGTGGGGAAAGTGTAGAGATATTTTCAGATTAGGGATTTGTGGATCGATCGATTTCTGAGATTAGGGATTTGTGGATTTTTGAGGTTAATGAACCCTTTTTATACCATGCCAAAAAGGACACGTTTTTTTCCACGTATTTACTGTTTTTCCACGCAGGTGGCAGAAAAATCCACGTAGATTTAAGTTGCCGGACACGCTGGCGGATTTTGAAGGTCCGACCGGTGTAAGGTTCGACTTGCAATAAGTAAAGTTAGGTCGAGATTATTTTGCAATTATCCAAAAGTTGGGATAAAAATGCAAAACGGAAAAAGGTTGAGGTTTAAATAGCAATTAACCCTAAAAAAAATGACAGATCGACCCATTTAACTGTTATACAGTGCC